GGTGTAGATACAGGGACAGATACAGGTGCATATACAGGTATAGATACAGGGACAGATACAGGTGCATATACAGCAATAGATACAGGTACAGATACAGGTGCATATACAGGTACAGGTGCATGTACAGATACAGGTACAGATACAGGTATAGATACAGGTATAGATACAGATACAGATACAGGTATAGATACAGGTACAGATACAGGTGCATGTACAGGTGCATATACAGGTACAGATACAGGTATAGATACAGTACAGATACAGGTGCATGTACAAGTGCATATACAGGTACAGATACAGGTACAGATACAGGTACAGATACAAGTATAGATACAGGTACAGAGACAGGTATAGATACAGTACAGATACAGGTGCATGTACAGGTGCATATACAGGTACAGATACAGGTACAGATACAGGTACAGATACAAGTATAGATACAGATACAGGTACACATACAGGTACAGACACAGGTACAGATACAGGTAAAGATACAGGTACAGATACAGGTACAGATACAGGTATAGATACAGATACAGGTACACATACAGGTACAGACACAGGTACAGATACAGGTAAAGATACAGGTACAGATACAGGTACAGGTATAGATACAGGTACAGATACAGGTGCATATACAGGTGCATATACAGGTACAGATACAGGTACAGATACAGATACAAGTATAGATACAGGTACAGATACAGGTATAGGTACAGGGTACAGATACAGGTACAGATATAGGTATAGAAAAAGGTAGAGATACAGGTAGAGATACAGGTGGAGATACAGGTATAGGTACAGGTACAAATACAGGTATAGGTACAGTTACCTGATACAGTTATAGGTACAGGTACAGGTAAAGGTACAGATACCGATACAGGTACAGGTCGGCTACATATACAGGTATATATAAAGGTAGAGATACAGGTACAGGTATAGGTACAGATACAGGTATAGATACAGGTAAAGGTACAGTTACAGATACAGATACAGGTGCAGAGACAGGTACAGGTACAGGTATATATAAAGGTAGAGATACAGGTGCAGAGATACTCCTCACAGGTGGAAGTACGTGGATGACTGCACTGTGGGGGTTTCAGTGGACAACACCGCACCAGACGGGAGCCACGCATTACCCAAAAGTATCCAAATGTACCCAAGAGTACCCAAAAGTATAGCAAATAAGGGTAAAATCTTAACGAATATCTGTTATACATACACAAAACATGTTTAATCATATTTTTAGTGTATTTTTGTAAAAATAATTTGTAAGATGAAATAATGAACAGCGAAAAACTTTCAGTATTGGCGAACGCTAAATTCGAAAGAGTTCGTGAACAAGGGAGATAACTCAGATCCATCGTGATGCACTTCGCTAACCTAACCTAACCTAACCTAACCTAACCTAACGAAAAGTAAATCCTACAGCTATCTTAAATACCCCAAAGTAACAGAAACATCGATAATTATATCTCCATTATATCTCTTTGGAATTTAGCATTTTTCGCTGCTTATTATTTCATTATTTTGACTACATTTCAATGAAAACATTATTAATCAGGTTTTATTGATGTAAAACATATATTCGTTAAGATTTTACCCTGATTTAATATACTTTTGGGTACTTTTGGGTAATTCGTTGTACCGCACCAAGACTACTCATCGCTACAAGGCACCCTAGACAGGCTACAGGCATGGACTACGGAGAACAAGGTCACCATCAACCACACCAAAACCGTAGTCATGCACATCAATACCGCCACCACTCCAGTGCAAGCCCCAGCAGTCATAGTGGGTGCCCATCCTCTCCAGCTGGTGCAGTCTGCCAAACTCCTGGGTGTAACTATAGACAACAAACTTGACTGGAAGGCCCATGTAAATAACACAGTCAAGGCAGCCTCGTACCGTCTCTACATGCTACAATGACTTAGGTCACTTGGGACACCCACGCCAGAGCTGAGGACCATCTACAACGCCTTTATTCTCCCCAAACTACCGTATGCGTCACCAGCCTGGTCGTCTTCTCTCAACTCCACCCAACAACGTCGGTTAGAGAAGGTACAGAAAAGGGCCTGCAGAATCATGCTCGGCGCAGAATACTCCGGCTACACCAATGCTCTCTCCACCCTGGAAATGCCATTCCTCAGTGACCTCCACCACCAAGCACTGGAAAGGTTTGGCAGCCAACTAATGCACCACCCTCGTCATCGCCACCCCCTGCCACTACAACAAAATTCAGCCCATAAGAGCCCGCACCGATAGATATAAGAACAGCACCATCCCATCTATTGTTAAAATAATAAACAACTCCTGATTTATGTACTGTACAGCCCTGTAAATGTATTCAATGCATATTATATCATTATGTCTAAATCAAATGTAAGTCTGTATATTTTCAGCCACCGGCTGCAACTCTATTAATAAACCGTTTATTATTATTATTATTATTATTATTATTATTATTATTATTATACAGGTATTTATACAGGTAAAGGTACAGCTACAGATACAGATATAGGTACAGATACAGGTACAGGTGTAGATACAGTTACAGGTGTGTATATATATATATATATATATATATATATATATATATTCATGTAGATCCACAATGAAAACGTGGATAAGATAAATCCTGATAAAATCACACGAGAAAAGGGAAACAACGGAGCACCTTAGCTTTCGTTTTTATTCAAGACATCTTCAGAGGCAACTCATAATGACCTGACCTCATGTTTAATAAGGTCACCCTGTATATTTAAGCCTCTCTCTGTCCATGTAATCCAGTTGCCTCTGAAGATGTCTTGAATAAAGACGAAAGCTAAGATGCTCCGTTGTTTCCCTTTTCCCGTGTGATTTTATCAAGATATATATATATATATATATATATATATATATATATATATATATATATATATATATATATATATATATATATATATATATATATATATATATATAGGTATTGATAGAGGTACAGATACAGGTACTGATTCAGGTACAGGTATAAATATATGTACATATATAGGTACAGGTACAGATACAGGTACAGATACAGGTACGGATACAGGTATAGATAAAGGTAGAGATACAGGTACAGATACAGGTATTAATAGAGGTACAGATACAGTTATAGATAAAGGTACATATACAGGTGGTACAGATATAGGTATAGATTAAGGTAGAGATACACTTACAGACAGGTACAGATGCAGGTACTGATACAGGTACAGAGACAGGTACTGATACAGGTACAGATACAGGTAAGGATACAAGTATAGGTGCAGGTACCGGTACAGATACAAGTACAGATACAGGTTAAAATACAGGTATAAATACGGGTACATATACTGATAAAGGTATAGATAGAGATAAAAGTACAGGCATAGACGCACGTACAGGTGCATGCATAAATACAAGTGCAGTTACAGGTGCAAATAAGAGTGCATATATAGAGATTTAAAGGATATCTGGCAGAAAGAAGGGATTGGTAAAAAGAGCCCGTGAACGTTTAGAGTGGAGGTCTGTGGTCGCCAACTCTCAGACATGAGGACGGTTCTCGGATTTATTGATTGACAGAAAATTGTATATAGCGGCTGAGTGAACATATTGCTTACTTCATATTTAAAAAAGTCAGTATTTTATAGTTCCCGCCATAGACACCCCCAACGGTGAGAGTTTACAGTTGAGGAAATGAATGTGGTCGGGTGCAGTTCTGGCCACATGACTCCCTATGTGTTGAAGCCATAGTGTACAGGGTGTTGTATACATATTGTCCCTAGCTGGCCGCCAGACTAACTGATTCCACTTTTTATGTTTGTATGTTTCACTCACCATCTTCTCTCCACGTGTATACTTTGTCGATGCTGCTGGGAGTTGACTACACACACGACTGTAGGCTTTGTTGATGATGATGACGATGGTGATGACTATGATACTGAATCGATCTTCTCTTTATTGTTTCTCCCTCATGCTAGTGACAGAGGGTTGTGTGATTTTTGCGTGATGGGAATACAATGGAAAAGTTCATTGTATAAACTGACATCGTCTTTGTTTCACTGAGTAGCCGACATCAGGCATTTGTCATCCGCTTCACTGCTGTTGCTGTCACATCTCTCTCTCTCACCATTTGGAAGGGAATTACTATTAACAGTATAGTTGTCCTAAATCATTATTGTTCTCCTCTTATTGTTTGTTGCATTACTTCTGTTTAGTAGTTATTGACACTTGCCTCTCCTCCAGTTTTGTTGCTCACCTTCCATAGTCTTGTTTACTCATCTTGCTGTTCTTCACTTTATATCCCCATTCTCTTTTATCATCTTGTTTTCTTACAACTTTGTTTGCTTAACTTTTATTTATGAGTGTCAATATATTTTCTATCATACTTTCATTGTTTTTCCTCCCACTGTGGCCGACTTGCTGAATATAGACTTCTCTCAGTGCCTCCTGTCTATTTTATAGACAGGATATTGTCTTAGTATAGTATGTGTTTGGGTAACTCCATTCAAAGGTGTTGTACAGAGACAAGTGGCAAGTCTAGCCAGCATCTTTTAAGAGCATTTATGTTATTAATTTGACTAAAAAAATTTATGGCTGGAAAATAATTTTTTTTTAACAGTTCCGGATATCAGCAATGATCACAAATTACATGAGCCACAAGCTTCGTGTTCAGCCGTCTATAGCTTCTTTGTGACGTACCTGAGGACGACATTGATAATATAAACACAATGTTTACATCTGCCATGACATAACTATGAGTTGACGCTGTAGCTAATGTTGGCTGATGTCCTCTCACCAACTACCCTTTCCAAGTGTCTTAAAATAAAATTATGTAATTCTATATTATTTCAGTTTAATATTGTTTCCAAATTCATTACGATGTACAAATTAAGATGCAGAAATATATTGAAATAAAACGATAACTATCGCCTTAGAAATTATATCATCTATGCTTAGTAGAGAAACGGCCAATGATGTCACGCATAAAAAACAGAGCATTAAAACTTTTTTTTTTTTTTTATTAATGCAAAGAAAACAAAGCCGGAGGACACAGCATCACGCCAGTGTCCCCAGTTGGTGTTTGGGAGAAGAGACGTCCATGGAGTGGCCTTCGGGGAGGTGAGCCAGGAGGCCGGTGTTGGTGGCGGACACAGGAGGCTCAGCGGCAAATTGCAAATCCCACCGGTAAGGCTAGCGAGGCTACTGACTCCTCCTGACGTCCTGCAGCGGTTCCTAGAGTTGTTTATCCCTCGCTCTTCTTCGCCACCACGTAGGGTATGTGATAATATTGGGTGTAGGGGAAGAATGCTGTACAAGGCAGAGACAACAAGTAAACATAAGTATTTTCTCCACCGGGTGTGTGTCATTAGTAAAATTTAGTATGGTCGCCTTTTGATTACGCTGTACTAAGTGATGAAGGTTCGGTATCAACATTGGATGAGGATTGGGAAAGGAAATGGATTGAAAAGCTAAAGCTTTACAAATAACTTGCAAGATGTAGAGAGAACCGCACTTCCCGTCATGTTTGGTCGGGGGGTGAGGAACAGCCTCGTCCACAGGTTAGGCAGTAGTTTACTAGTTGTATACTACCTGGCTGTGCACCCCCTGGCTGTACACCACCTGATTGTACATCACCTGACTGTACACCACCTGGCTATACACCACCTGACTGTACACCACCTGCCTGTACACCACCTTCGGCTGTACACTACCTATTTGTACACCACCTGACTGTACACCACCTGACTGTATACCACCTGGCTGTACACCATCTGACTGTACTCCACCTGACTTACACCACCTGGCTGTACACCACCTTCGGCTGTACACTACCTATTTGTACACCACCTGACTGTACACCACCTGACTGTATACCACCTGGCTGTACACCATCTGACTGTACTCCACCTGACTTACACCACCTGGCTGTACACCACCTGCTGTACACTACCTATTTGTACACCACCTGACTGTACACCTACCTGGCTGTACACCACCTGACTGTACACCACCTGATTGTGCACCACCTGACTGTACATCACCTGACTGTATACCACCTGACTGTACACCACCTGACTGTGCACCACCTGACTGTGCACACATGACTGTACACCACCTGACTGTACACCATCTGGCTGTACATCACCTGACTGTACACCACCTGCCTGTACACCACCTTCGGCTGTACACTACCTATTTGTACACCACCTGACTGTACACCACCTGATTGTGCACCACCTGACTGTACATCACCTGACTGTACACTACCTGACTGTACACCACCTGACTGTGCATCACCTGACTGTGCATCACCTGACTGTACACCACCTGACTGTACACCACCTGACTGTACACCATCTGGCTGTACATCACCTGACTGTACACCACCTGACTGTGCACCTGACTGTGCACCACCTGACTGTACACCACCTGTGCACCACCTGACTGTGCACCACCTGACTGCACCACCTGACTGTGCACCACCTGACTGTGCACCACCTGACTGTGCACCACCTGACTGTGCACCACCTGTGTACACCACCTGACTGTGCACCACCTGACTGTGCACCACCTGACTGTACACCACCTGACTGTACACCACCTGACTGTGCACCACCTGGCTGTACACCACCTGGCTGTACACCACCTGACTGTACACCACCTGACTGTGCACCACCTGACTGTGCACCACCTGACTGTGCACCACCTCTCTGGTTGTAAGAAATTTCCCGGCTTTTTAAGTAATACTAAAAAGACACACGTGTGTAAATGCGTTATATCACACACTCACACCCTCGAGTAAACACATGTACTTACAGACAGATTCATTTTCACTACAGCAAATCTCTCCACACACACACACACACACACACACACACACACACACACACACACACACACACACACACACACACACACACACACACACACACACACACACACACACACACACACATACACGGTCTCCAAGAACATAATAATGAGAACTTTACCCAGGAATGTTTCTTCATGGGGAAAATGTAACTCTACCTTAACATATAACAAAGTACATTTCTGTTGACTTACTTGGGTAGTTGTACCACAGTGGTGAGTAGCCCAAAGAACTGTAGAAGAGCTGTGGGTCAGGTTCAGCTCCGGCCTCGGGGCCGGGCGCCGGGGCTGGCAGGGCTGTAGCGGCGGCCACCAGGAGAAGCACCAACTGTAGGCACCAACGTTACGAGAACAATGCAACAAGGGATGGGATGTAGAGCGCAGTGTAACAACAAATTGATATATCGATGGAGGGTTTAAAATATTTAAAGTCAAGCTTCAGCAGGGAAAGCAACAAATTACTGGGATCCTAAATCTGTCCCAAACCACCTGTAATTGACGTAAAACTGACTGCTTCAGTCCCTAGCCTGCTTGCTGTGCGTGTAACAATTTTAATATGTTCTTGACAACCTGTTTATTGTCTGAAGCTAAACCCTTGAGCACGAATTCCTCGTGCTGGAGGAAACACATTGATCAAAGCGTTTAAGACGTTGTATAGGGTTAAGATACAGCATCCAATATAATAATTAATTTTACTCAAATGGTTGTCATCGTATTCAAGAAGTTAAACTATCGTACTCATGTGATTGTCTTCGTACTGAAAATGTTAAATTGTCGCAGTCAAGGGGTTAAGATATAACAACAGATAAACTAATTCCATATAATCCGGGCTGGGCAACCTGCGAGATTTAAATGAGACATCAAATTATCAAGCAATAAGAACCCTTGAGCACCTGAAGTAAAGTAAGGATCATCTTACCATAATCTTCATGCTGATTGAGTGTTGAAGGTCTTACGGTGGAAAATTGATACCTAGCAGTGGACAGTGCCAGTATATATACTGTATGCTGATGACCCCCCCCCCCACTCCCCTCCCCTCCTGGTGGTTGCCTGAAGCTCGGAAATTTCCTGTTTGCTTCTAAATATATAAATTTTTGTCTCCATATAACAGTTGATTCCTTTTATATATAAATAGAAAAAAAAAAAACGAATAATTGGAACGAGACTTAAGATTCACTTTTATCTTAACTCGTGAAATTCGTCGTGAGAGATGGAGAGATAAGGAGACGAAAGAGATAAAAGCTTAAGCGATATATGTACTTACACGAAATATAAAGAAATAAATTCTACACAGTGTGAGTGCATATTACCTGAGGCTAGTGAGGCACATGACTAAAGAACGTATGAATGACGTCAATGAACACACACACACACACACAGACACACACTCACACAAACCGGAGACTTCGACACACTATGTGATGTGATGTCTGCATGAGTCATTTTTCATTACCCCCTTCACGAATCCGTCCCTTCCTATTCCTTCTCTCTCTTTCTCTCTCTCTACGTTCCGTGCTCGCTCTCTCTCTCTCTCTCTCTCTCTCTCTCTCTGTGTGTGTCTCGTCCTGTTCCTTCTATATCTCTTGCTCCGTCCCGTCTTTTCCTCCTCCCTCTCCCCCGCCCCGCCCCGAGGCTAATACATTAGGGGATCTCGGAGCAACAGGGGGCCCCAGAGGTGTAGTGTGCAAGCTCACCGGCGTGTGGACATGTCCTGGAACCCACCAACCCATGTCCCACTGTCTTGTGGGTTAACTGGTAAAGTGCAAGACTACGGGAGTCAACCCCTAACGAAAAACCTGTGTTTGGAGGCACGCAATAGGCGAAGCACAATAAACCGCGTTCTCGGCAGATTCCTGCGACCACGCTCAGCAGTCGGTCGTCGTGGGTCTTTTATGCCACCGACAGTTGCTGGGGGAGGCCAAGGTAGTGGGAGTGGTGTTTGCGCTCCATCATCCCCACTCAAAATCCACTCATTGCGCAGGCCCTTTTCTCCAATCACGCTCATTATCTCATCATCATCTCGAAAAGACCTACGGCGATGGGAACGAGTGGGGGGCACAGGTCAAGGCTGTGACTGGAAGTGTTTAGCTCCGATCTGCACGTAGGCGGTGGTGGAGTGATGATCGCTGAGACAAGGGACAGGGCAGTGTGTCTCTTTGGCAGCTTCCTAACGGAGGGACCTAGAAAAGGTGGTCCTAAACAAATGCTGTCTGTAGAAAATTATAATTTAATGAAGAAACAAAAGACCGCTTCTATAGTATATTGGAAACTGCTCTTGCGGATGCGCCACCAACTGACAAAATTCTTCTTTTAGGGGATTTCAATGCTAGAGTTGGTTCAAACTATGAAACATGGGACAAAGTTCTGGGCAAGCAAGGGGTAGGGAAGATGAACAACAACGGACTCCGACTCCTTACACTGTGCTCAGAATACAATCTTACGATCACTAACACCTGGTTTTAGATGAAAACCAAATACAAGACCTCATGGAAACATCCTCGATCAAACCACTGGCACCTCCTTGACTATGTTATTATTCGCCAAGATGACCTAAACGGGGTGCAAATCACAAAAGCCATGAGGGGTACAGACTGTGGCACGGACCATAGGCTGATAAGATCCAGGATTCTAATGATAATTCGACCCCAACACTTGAGGCAAGCCCCCAGTCGTAAACTTAACATCAATACCCTCAGTAATCCTGAAACCTCGAACTCATTAAAAAACAAAATCACCGAAAAACTCCCAGCCCATGAAATTATGGAACCTGGCACTGTGGAAGATGGCTGGAAAGAGTTGAAGACTGCAATGAGTGAAGCTGCACTGGAAACACTTGGCTTTTCAAAAATGTGACATCAAGACTGGTTTAATGAAAACTCGCCTACCATCCATAATCTTCTCAAAACCAAAAAATTATCCCACGATGCAGTGCTATCAGATCCCCAATCACAAACACGGAGGGACCGGTTAACCAACATCAGGTCAGAAACACAAAGACTGTTACGCAGCATGGAAAATGACTAGTAGGTAAAAAATGCACAAGAAATTCAAGCCTTTGCTGAATTAATCCACTAACACCTACAGCACTGGATAACATCCCACCCATGCCGATCCTGCACCTCCTGGATGAAGCCCCACTCCTACAAGAAGTGGAAACTGCAATACGAGGGTTCAGCAACAACAAGAGCGCTGGCTCTGACGACGTTCCTGCTGAAATCTACAAACATGGAGGTCCCCATCTGACTGAGCACCTCCATAGCCTCTTATTCACCATATGGGCCGCAGAGACCATCCCCCAGGATTGGAAAGATGCAAATATCATAACAATCTATAAGAATAAAGGTGACAAAGCAATTTGTGGTAACAGCAGGGGCATCTCCCTCCTTGTAGTTGCTGGTAAGATCCTGTTAAAATTCATGTTATCAAGACTTATCCAACACCTAACTGAGAACACCCTGCCTGAATCCCAACGTGGGTTAAGGAAGGATCGCAGTACAATAGACATGATCTTCGCAGCTAGGCAAATTAAAAAAAAGCGTCGAGAGCAAAATGTAGACCTTTACACCGCCTTCATTGACCTCTCCAAAGCTTTCGACACAGTAAACAGAGAACTTTTGTGGACTATGTTGGAGAGAGTCGGTGTACCACCAAGATTTTTAAACATCCTCCGTCAGATGCATGATGGAATGCAAGCCCGGGTACTTGTGGGTGGTGTGCAGTCAGAACCATTTAGTGTCTTAATGGGCGTAAAACAGAGCTGTGTGCTGGCACCTGTGTTGTTTAACATCTTTTTGCTGGCTACAGCACAACTCTCACACAATGCCCTTGGGCCTGATGCAGGTGTGGGCATACGGTACCGTCTTGACGGAAGCCTTTTTGAAATTAGACGTCTAGAAGCCTACACAAAGACCTTAACAACTCAGGTCATAGAACTACAGTATGCAGATGACACATAATGACACATAACAGAGAATCTATATGCAACGTGCACTGGACGTGATCTCAGGTATTTACAGCTTGCATGGTTTGCAAATTAACCCCCAGAAAACTGGGATTTTTGTCCAGCCCATTGTTCCACCAATAGAAGCACCACAATTCTACATTAATAGACATCCTATCAAAATAGTAAACCAGTTTAAGTACCTTGTTAGCAATCTCACACCCACCTGCTCACTGGATATGGAATTTCAAACCAGAATCAATTTAGCCTCAGCTGCATTTGGACATTTGAGAACAAGAGTCTTTCTCAACAATGACCTGAAATATGGAACGAAGACTGCAATTTATCTCGCGGTCTGTATATCTACATTATTATATGCCTCAGAAACCTGGACGCCCTACAGACGCTATATCCAAATGCTGGAAAACTCCCACACTAGATGCCTTAAGCGTATCTTTGGAATATTCTGGGAAGACAGAGTGACTTGTGAAGAAGAACTATATCGTCGCTCAAACACGACCAGCATTGAAACCATGCTAGCCAAAAGACACTTGCTCTGGCTTGGACATGTTATCAGGATGCCAGACCACCGGCTTCCAAGACAAATATTATATGGCAAGCTCTCACATGGAAACCGCTCGGCGGGAGGACAGAAAAAGAGATATAAGGACCACTCTAAAACTCTACTCAAGTGCTGTAATATACAGCTAAATTCACTTGAGCAACTAGCCTCAGACCGTTCCTTATGGCGCTCAACATGCCATAGAGGAGCGGAAACACTTGAGACCTCACTGAACCAAAAGAGAACTACTGAACGAGCCCAACGACATCAGGATTGGACTCCATAGTCATCTACGGTGGCATCAGAGGAATACAACATAACTCATCTCATCTGGAGTAACGTCGTCATCGACTTCAATGGACTGCCATAAGCATATGTGTGTGTGTGTGATCTTAAATACAGTCTATAAATAAAGGACTAGATATCATTTTCGTCTTACTTCAGCTCATCTATTGTGTTGACACCTTGCAGACACTCAGGTACAGGCGAGGAATATTGTACGGACAGTTCTGCTGCGTCGGTCACAGAGATTGTCTTTGTTCCTCTGTTCTGGCTTCAGTGTGACTGCAGAGAAGTAATTATTCTCAAATACCCGCCGAGCCAAGTGTAAACATAGTGCGGCGGTCTGTCTGTCTTTATTTTATTTATTTATTTATTTATTTTTTTTTTACGGGAATTAGCCCACCCAGGCACAGGTCGAACGACCCACAACGGGGCCTGGGGGGCGAAAAAAAAAGAAAAAAAAAGAAAAATAGAGAACAAAAAGGTTATACTGTGTTAATCTACACCACGAAGATGCCGGAACACCAGCCTTTTAAAGTGAGACAGATTGTATAAGTATGGAAACACTGAAGAAGGCAGAGCATTCCACAGTTTGGCTGTGTGAGGAAAGAAGGATGTACAATAACGGGTTATTCTAGCGTGACCGACATCCACAGAGAAACGGTGGGCATCGCGGGCAAGACGTGTGTTACGAGCCCGCGGCCTTGCCGGCGTTACAGTGGATGCCAAATCCACCGAACATGCCCGTTAAAGTACCCGTAAAAGAGAGAGAGTGAAGCAACATTGCGACGAAGAGTAAGGGAAGAAAGATTGTCGACTAAAGAAGAAGAGTTAATAAGACGAAATGTCTTTGATTCCACCCATCTAACAGTTGGACAGAAGAAGAGCCACCCCAGATATGAGAGCAGTACTCCAAGTTAGTACGAATGAATCCCTTATATACTTGAAGCATCTGCTCAGGGGTGAAGTAGCTACGGCATCTGTACAGCATTCCCAACTTTCGGGAGGCAGCTTTAGCTATGTTAAGGATGTGTGATTTCCAAGACATAATGGAGGAAATGGTGAGGCCTAACATATTTATTTTAGAATTTGGCAGAATGATAGCGTCCTGAAATGTAATTGGTGGGAGATCATCTAATTTAGAAAGTGAAATTGGTAAACACTGAGTTTTATTTCTATTGAATTT